GCGCTGCGATCACCAGAGCCTTGAAACATTAATGTCAAACTGTTTTTCACAATGTCACTGATGTCCGACAATGCTTCACGCTACCAACAAGAAGTCCTTGTGAAGATCAGTCATTAACTGCTAATCTGCAGTACTTAACGAGAACTCACCACTACGAAGGTAACGGAGCCATGCTGTAAGTTGCAAGCGGCGCTGGCCCTTCTGAGAATTATCGAGACAAACATGAGGATTCACGTTATTTCGTCATGAAGGTTCTCTCGTGAAGCCTCAGCCAAGTTATTATCCTACTTATACAATCTGTTGAGTGTCTGTTGGTGTGACTGTGTGTGCGCTTGTCTAACCGAAAATTCATAACGCTTGTCCCTCTTCCACCCTCGCCACAAGATTCAGAATCCCTTTTACCAACAGCTTCGTCAAGGCATCACAAAGCTCGTATCGATTCAATACCTGCCTTGGTGAGATTCAGGAAGCACAGGTCTTCAAGCGGCGATCGCGTCAAGAGGCTTGACGTAAAGCAAGCTGTAACGAAACTATCGCAACAAGGCAGCACACATGTTACAGTAAACGTTGCTGATCAGAAGTTGACAACTTCGGTAAGTCCTTCTATTTAAGAGAAATGCTAGGGTTTGGAACCATGTGGGTTTGAAGGTTGTTAGCCGATCACGAGCCGTGGTGGCACAACCAAAAAGACAAAAACGGCCGAAAAAATGGACACAAACAACATCAAACGAAAATGAACAAAGAAGTAGGGAAAGAAATACAAGGAAAACGATGGTAAATCGATGACACGAGATTTCACGATTTCGGTAGATCGTACAGGGTAGATCATGTGACATTCTGACCTGATGTCTTCCCGTCAGCTTTTGAATTGAAGGTTTCGAATTCGAAATCTTTCTTCCCCTCCTCCCCATTGAGAATCTCAAGTTCTTGGAGAGCTTCTAGTACAATTGCCTCAGTAATCATGGGAAATTTCTTTAGAAATCCCACTTTTTGTGTGGAGAAGCTGCGAAGATCCTGCGACGATCGATCAGTTGATCCTAGGCATGGTGCTTCGAATGTGCACTCCTGCATCTCCATAGTGAAAGGATTCAAAAGGGTTCGAGGCGAAGGAAGTGAGATAACGAGTATTAGTATGAACCAGTACTGGAACAGGAATGCTTCGGGAGGTACAAGAACTTGGATAGAGCCGTTAGAGTGCAACCTTCCCTCCTTAGACCTCCTCATTATGAATCTCAACCTTCTGGGAGAGCTTCTGGTACGACCGCCCGCCTCAGTAATCTTGGAAAATTCCCATTCTGGACGACATCATCTCGTTTTCAAGAAAATTAAAACTCCCGCCGTTCCCTGAATACAGTACCTGCCACAGAGCTATCCGGTGGTCAAAGTCCTTTGCAATGAATGCAACCTATTTTTCAGATCTACAAGACTGTGATTGTAGAAAATCTATAATTGGTATTGATCAGCAGTGGTGGTCCATTCTCCCAAAATTGCTGTTTTTCCTATGGTTTGGTGGGAGTCCTTGACAAATCTCTTTTTGTGTGTGAAGTGGCTGCGACGATCCTGCGACGATCGATCAGTTGATCACAATCAAGGTGAGGTGCTTCGAATGCCCACTACTGCACCTCCATGAAGAAAGGATCCGAAAGGGTGGAGACCACCCTTACTGCGAAGAAAAAGAGCATCTGGCAGATGCTACGTTGATATTGAGGAAGTGAAAAGGACACACACTTTGATATATTTATTTATTCATTTACTGCACTCATTGTGCACCATAGCATTCAAGCAAATTATTATTATTAGTAGGCTCAAACACAGAGAAGCAGAACATGGAAAAGAATCACGAACATTCTCAAAGCACCAGCTACACCATGCCAGAATCAAAGAAGGCAGTGCAACATTCCCTTAACTTAGACGAATCAGACAAAGAGGCAAAAAAGAGAGAAATATCCGGCAGGCCAGACTGCAAAGCAAAAACAATATCAAAATGGCGAGAGGCGGCCATTTATCCACAATATGAATGGAGCACTGCACCAAACACTAAGTGGTTAGCAATAAATATGGATAAAACAAGTTGCACTGTCAACCTGGGCAACGCAACCGATCGTGGGCGTTCTCGGGCACGCCAAAGTATTTGCCTTTTTGATCTACACACGAAATCAGGGCGTAAGACCCAGGCCCAGGTATGATGTTTCAATACCTGTTGACCTGCACCATGATAAACAACACAAACTCGGTAGACGTGAGTGCATATGCCTTGGGAAAAGGAAAGAAAAGAAAAGTACAGGCTTACAAAAAACCAATCGATGCAGATTGCATCACCGAGTGCGAATCTTGAAGGCTTAATTTGAAATTGTATTAGAATTATTACTCTCTTCAGCAAGGTAGAAGAATGCTATGCACTACATTACATATAAAAAACATACACAAGAGCTGATGAGTGTTGTTAGTAAACAAAAAACAGCACTAAATAAGTGGGATAAAAGAAGTCTGCTTCTCAATTTGCTGTCCAATTGTGCCTATTGACCGGTCCTAAAAAATAAGCATATGAAATAAATAATGCGCAACGGAAATACTTAAACTTCACTTACATCCTCAACACCGAATAAATTTAATTTTCAACCTACTTTTGAACAGCAGACTACTTTCTGAACGCATCATTTCGCTAGGAAGACGCCGAAACCATCTTGAGATGCGATCAAAGAAGAAGCTGAATACCTCGTCACTACTTTTACCCAAGATTTTTGACTAATCAGAGTTGAAACTGTTCGCTCTTTCACTACTAAGTCTGAAGAGCCAGTAGTTGCTTGAGAGCAGCTTGAGTTCTCTACGAAAGATCCGAAATCCGACAACAAGACCTGAAACCGTCTCGTACATAGCAAAGTTTCCAACTCTAGATGTTCAGGCTCTGTCCATGGTTTAGAAAGCTGCGTCTATTGAACCCTTGTTCATTCGAAATGAAGCTATGATTGAGGGAAGCATAGTGGGCTTCGATAAAATCCGGTTTCGGTACAACAATAAGCCACCGTGAGGAAACAACATCAACAAAAAATGCAGCTTTGAATGATCATGGGTTGCGATAGGCGGTAGGGTGTTAACTGCATGTACCGGTTGCAAAGGCATAAAAATCAGATCAAGAATTTACTGAACAAAGGGGGATGTTTCACTAATTGTCTGAAGCCATGATTCGTACTTCGTTCTCCAGTGAGTGTGAAGTTTGTCAACTGTAGCGAAAGCGAAAGAGGCTTCGTCGAAAGATGTTTGGGTTGCACGTATACGAATGGTGCGTTGTTGATTTGGTTCATCAGATTATCGGCATTACATTGATCGTTCGTGATTGAACCAGTTGCTAAGTGGTTTTGATTTCCCGAGGATCATTCAATGGCTTTAATTGGCGAGCTGCTATGCCTTTGCAAGACTTGAGCGAGCAGTATATCGATTCTTTGTTTTGCAATGCTTTCGAGTGAATTGAAGTGACTTGAAGAAGACTTGTACTCATCACTTGACGAGAAGTAGCTTTGTTGCGAGCTCGCTATCGTGCAGTCGATTGTTTATGACTTCCTGGAATTGTTAACGCGAGCTCTTTACCACGTTTGAATACCTTGAGCTAATATTCAGCGCGGTTTCCCTTTCGCTTGTACAATGAATGAATCTATGTTGACGTAGCTCGTCTGATCTGACCGATGCACCAAAATTTTTGTGGTGAGGGTGATCTAGATGAATAGATACAGTGTCTGTTTTCCCTACCTCGCGTTTATTAGATACTGCTTCTCCGATGTTGCTAACAGCTTACTGCTGGACGACGTGTAGTTTGGCAACGATGAAGAGATGTAGAGTCGATCGAAGCGATGAAAAAGAACGAAAATGAGAACAAACAAACACCCTTCAGCATGTCTTATACACCACAAGTGTTTACATCTTTGATTCAATAACAAGTACTATATCACAACCTCACTTCACGGAACTCTCTTTTACGGTACAACGATAAGTTTCGTAAAGGGGTTGAAATATCCGTTGAAACTCGGGTTTTGCTGGCATTCGGATCTCTGAATCCTGGGAGGAGGGTTGGAATCTTCGTATAAACTCAGTTATTTCTGGCACTCGGCACTCAGAGGAAAATTGTAAGGCGGTTCAAAACTCCGCAAAAATCCATTGGAGAGGCTCCGCGAGAGCCCCAAGTGCTGGGGGGTGTGGTGCGTTAGGAACGAAATGGTCGCGTCGCGGTGAGAGGGGCGTCGCGCGCGAAGAAATGNTGGTCCGCGACAGCCGCGTGCGGCAAATCGATTAGTCAAAATCGTTCCTAACGCCCGTGCCTCAGTGCTGAGCACCACAAAGAAAGCGACAAAATATGCGGCAAGATTTTTGCATATGCAAGGGTGGCACGTGTTCGAATGATTCAATTGCCGTATGTTATCAGGTGCACCGAATGTTGATATAAGGCCTGAAGGCTTAGTTAACCTTATTTTCGAAGCACCCTTCTTAACTTGAAAAGAGGGAGTGTTAATGGATCACACGTGAACCGGTGTCGAGAAGATTCGCCAACATTTCGAAACAGGCTTCCCAAAAGCACTGAAAATAGACGTAAGAGATTATCGTGACGGAAATGGCATGAAAGAGCTATTCAGACGAGACTTCTGTTGTTGCGATTGCGTGAAGACCGGAATAAACGAAAATGTCTGCAACTTCCACTGTCACCATGGTCCACCTTGGGTGCGCTATACAAAGTCCGGTCCAAAACAGTTTTTGTGCCCTTACACCGCCCTACCTAGGCCGTTTTTCGATCTCATAGTACCCTATATGGTATACAGGACGGCTGCAGATTCTTCCAGCGGGATATCTCNAGAAACATTTCAATAGTGAACTGTGCCTTTTAAAAAGGCGTGTCGAAAGGCCGACGCTACCTTGGAAGAGTTGCAAGTGAAAAGTTTAATTGTAAGTATCCATATCACGATAAAACGTACAACGAATAACAACAAAAAAGTGAAGATCATTGACGCGACGACTCATTTCTTGGAGCTCAAGTCTTTCACCGCCTGAAAAGGAGTAAATTAACATAAGCAAAACACTCCTTTGATACTTTGCGAATCGATTTCCATTAGTTTTTGGGCTTTTCAGAATGATGACCGTATATAGAAAACATTTCTACTTCGAGTAAGCGCTACTTCAACTTCACCATATATCTAGATTGAAGAACGAAAATGAAAGAACACCATCTCTACTACGAAAACGCGTGGCCCATTATAAGTATTGCGGGTATGAAAACTAATGCCATGAATGCCATAAATGCAATGTAATCATAGATGACTTTGGAAAAAGCGTTTACTGAAGACAAAAAGTATGATTACAGAAAAATCCAATATTCGCTTCTTAACACCTACTTGGCTGCTCTCAAAGGCACAGTTGACGGTGTTACCATAGACCGCCCATCATTCGGTTTCAAGGTGACAAATTAGTCGCAAAATAGCGTACCATTAGCGAAGAAGTCAAGGTTATCAGCAGAATTCCCGAAATGATTCGCTTCCCTCAAACCCCCTCACCGGCATATAGTAGGATCGCGATGAAACTAAACACCACTCCGGACTTCAATAAGCAAGCCATATGAGATACTCCTGCCCTTAATGGCTGTCAGATTTATTGTTATTGTGGTTATTGTTATTTTACATTGTGATTGTAGACGGCCACTTGTATCGTCAGGATCAGTGATCTCACTGCGACTGATTCTTTTCACCTGCTCACTACAGCAATTTCCAGACAAAATGATCGAAAATTTGTTCGAATAGTCGTCAGACAATGTGTACTTCTTGGCATAACCACCCAAAGATGATGTATTATGAACAGGAGCGTCTTTTAGCTGACGTACTGAAGTACAGAATGTATTTAGTTCCATCGCGATACTTTTACACACCGTCTACATTTTACATGTTACTTCCCCTGACCTGCTTTTGTGGAGTCCAAGTTTCTAAGGCGACGTCAAAGCAGGAAGGACAGCAGTGTCGAAAAGGTGAGCGCGCTTGTCGGATGTTCTCTGTCTTCCTCATTATTCCCTCGATATTTTCAAATACACCCCAAGGCGCGCATTTTCCTCAACTAGCCAAGTCTTTCATCAGTTGACTTCACGACCTGGATACACGTAACCAGAACATTTGTAGATATTCGTTCCGCTTAGGGTAGAGGGAGCATCAGGTACCAAACTATTTCCATGAATATCGTCTTCACTACTTCCAGCCGCTCTTTCCATAAAAGCTGTCGAATTCGAACAGCAGTCATGCCGCTTCTCGATAAAGCGGAGCAAGCGGCACGAATTTCTTCCCATTCCAAATGATGCAGATGTTCTCAAAAGCAGCAATGAAAAGTTTTGGCGAAATATCGTCATCGTTCTGCCCTATCCCTCTCTTCACGTTAATAACGAGTTCTTGTAGAGTGGCGAAATCCAGGTCGATGAGCTGTCGTAGAACTCACAAAGCATCTTTTTGTATTGGAAAGGAATGGTTGCCCACAGCTTCAATTACCGCTTCTCTCTCGACGGTATCGAAGGCTTTCTTCAAATCGAGGCGTAAGACATAACGGCATTTTCTACTTTCGCGATGCTTCAAAGAGTCTTGCAACGGTAAGGACGGCATCGATTGTGCTGAACCCTCTTCGGAACCCTGCTTGCTCGCATGGCTGTCCTTCATCTGATATTCTGCCAATCCTATTCAGAACGNTGTCAGATTTATTGTTATTGTGGTTATTGTTATTTTACTGTTATACTATTGTGATTGTAGACGGCCACTTGTATCGTCAGGATCANTCATGCCGCTTCTCGATAAAGCGGAGCAAGCGGCACGAATTTCTTCCCATTCCAAATGATGCAGATGTTCTCAAAAGCAGCAATGAAAAGTTTTGGCGAAATATCGTCATCGTTCTGCCCTATCCCTCTCTTCACGTTAATAACGAGTTCTTGTAGAGTGGCGAAATCCAGGTCGATGAGCTGTCGTAGAACTCACAAAGCATCTTTTTGTATTGGAAAGGAATGGTTGCCCACAGCTTCAATTACCGCTTCTCTCTCGACGGTATCGAAGGCTTTCTTCAAATCGAGGCGTAAGACATAACGGCATTTTCTACTTTCGCGATGCTTCAAAGAGTCTTGCAACGGTAAGGACGGCATCGATTGTGCTGAACCCTCTTCGGAACCCTGCTTGCTCGCATGGCTGTCCTTCATCTGATATTCTGCCAATCCTATTCAGAACGACTGTGAAGAGCTTGTAGATTACAGACAGCAGGCAGATTAGGTGACAGTTGCCAATATCGTCAAGATCATCCTTCTTTCACAACAACACAGACTTGTTAGTTTGCCATGACGTGAATACCCTGCATTCTGACAAGTACTGTGTGAAGAGCCGAGCCAGGGTTTTAAGAATGACTGGCGGAAGGCTTTTTAGATGTTCTGGTTTGAACCTATCGGGACCGGGCACCGTACTTCAGCGTCAATATGGCATGTCGAATTTCGGAAGGGAGAACTGAAGGGACGATATATTCGTCTTGCCTAAGATGGTAGGTAGACAGGTAGACGTGGCTGTCAAAGAGATCCGAGTAGAGGCGTAGATGACCTTCTCCTTTGTCCGTCGGAATGCAGTAACAATTCCGTCAGGACGACGAAAGGAAGTCACCTTGGCCTGTAGTTGATGGAGCTCCGGAGGGCTCTACGAATGCTGTTTCCGGACTAGACGGCTTCGTCCGTAAATGCTGCTCTTTTCTCTATCAGATCTTCCTCTATCGCTTCTTTACATAGCTTCGTAAATTCAGACGTGTGTGTATGATTGCGTGCACTCGCGCAATTCCATGCTGCCAAGTATACGCAGTATGGAATCGCGCGAGCTGCAGGGAATCATCGGATGGCCTTCGATACTGTCCAGACAGAAGCGGTAATTGAAGCTCTGGTTGCTGTATCGAGTGGTTTCGAATGTATCTCATTCCCCTGAACTAAGTTAATAAAGTATAGAAATTATGAGGTGGGCGAACAATCATTGAACGTTCTACATTGTACAGTACATATAACTGGCTTCCTGGATAAACACTGACTTCATATGATTTCATACTTTCCGCTTGTAAGCCTCAATACGGTGGGCAGACAGAAGCTAAATAGGGTTTGTTTACCTGATAGTATCCCGTATGGTAACCGCTCATGTACCAACTCATGAGCATGCTTGACAAGGCTTCAGCTTCGTCCGGCACAGAAAGTCCAGCTAGCACACTGGGTGGAGGCGGAGCAATCGAGGGGATCTGAAACTGCTTCTGAACGTTTTAGAAAAAAAAAGTGAAATCAGCAATCACTTACAGTTGGATGAGGCCGATCAGCAAGCAATCGTCCCGAGGTACTGGACTCCTTTCGAGATGTCCGCCCTAAAAGGAAAAGCGTACATCCGGTCTACACAAAAGTCTAAAAACGGTCAGACAGGGCCAAAAGCAACACAGCTTTATTTGCATTGTCTCGAAAAAATGGCATAAGTCGTGGCTGTTCCGTAAATTTAGAACATTGGTGGGTGATAAGGAATGTGGGATCGAAGATGCTCGGTGACGAGATTTGATAACAAGTGATAAATCCTAATAAGAACCATAGAGGGCACGCGCCGTTTTGTCCGTTACTCATTTTGTGCCAACAGTGGATAGTGCTGGTCATATAGTGGATAGTGCTGGTCATCAAAAATGACATGTGTGTCCTCAATACTATAACCAAAGAACAATGACCTAGTATGATAACGTGGTTCGTACTTATCTCTCATATGGAATTTATTCACTGTTGAGACCGAACAAAACATCACAAGTGATAGAGGCTTCAAAGCATCTGGTGGAAGGAGACAATGCTGTTAAATATCGAGCGTTGGGAATTTTATTTCGAAATGGTTCAAGTGTTGCCTGGAAATGAAAGTACGACTTCTGCGTTATCTGCGCTTTTCAAGATAGTTGTATGAGAAATTACAGTTGTAGATAACGAAAACGCAAAAGCCTCACTGAGGCTGATGCAGGCACCGAAAAGAAAAGAAGTCACTACGGCAAGCAGACGTAAGAAAACCAGTAGGAAAGATATAGAGAAGTATCATTCGACCATTAGACTAACTGTAAGCCCTAAGCACTTCTGACATANATACAGAAGAAGTTGTACAAGTGTATGGGATAGCGGAGCTAATTTGCGAGGTTTGTTTCTAAAAGCAAAACTTAATTACAAGTCGGTAGTTGGATCCAAATGGATCTAAAGGAAAACCGAGGACCACGCATGAAATTTACTGACCTCAATAAGGACTAGGAACTATTAGAATCAAAATAATAAAAAGCCAGATACCAGAGTAAATGGTATCATCTGAAAAAGAACTCAAGAATTGAAAAAAAGTATAGGCGATGACTCCCGTTTCTGACAACAAGCTCATTCCAAGAAAGTCGCTCAGATTGTCCAAAAGTCAAAATCACAAACAGCGTCTAACTACATGCTGTTAATGAACAAAAAGTGATGCTCTCACCTTTCACAAGGATGACAATTTGTGGGCAAAACTTGGCCTTGAACAGGTTTCGTACCCGTGCGAGGCCAAAGTTTTGCCCGCAAATCGCGATTCTTGCGAATTCAGCGTGCTGCTTTCATCAAGTCAAAACAAGCTTTCACCTTTTTTTGATTTCGAGGCCTTCACTGCATGCCGTTTTACTGGGGTATTCTCAGGTGCGCTATCCATGTTAACATTGCCATCCTCTTGTGAACCATCGTCAGATCTGAAAAGTCCCGTATTACGGCACTGCTCAAGAAATTCTGATAGCAAACCACACTTGGACCAGGCACATACGTTGCAGGGACAATATCGTCGACAGATACCCAATCGGTGTTACCATAACCTTCGTAGCGAACTAGGTATCCCGGTTGATCGGGTTTTTCCTCGCGTATCTCTTCAATTTTGGCAGGGTAATAGAGATCGTCCTCACTATACCGCGCCAAACAAGAATCTCCCACCGACCAGCACTCAAATTAAAGATCATATTCAACGACAAAACAACTGTGAGAATTTGAAATCAAACTAAAGCTCAACGTACGTATGAGGTGGCGGCAGCTCCTAGTTTGCACTGAAAAAAAAACAACTGATTTATATACAAGAGCAATCAACAAACACTCCCTTTGGAAATGAATAAAAAATATAGGACCCAAAAAAATCACTTAACCGCTACTACATGGATGGCTGCTTTCATACTTCGACGTGCGTGCCGGCAAGTCGGTGGAAACGCAAGTATTTGCATGCGGCGTGCGAGCGGCTATGCGTCGGCGGCGCTATCCAAGTGTGTTATAGCATTGGCACGTGATCCATCGGCGTCCAATGTTGTCAACACTTCTCTAGCTAAGCCGTCCCACAGCCGCTCTCACGCCGCACGCAAGATTGTACCTGCGTTGCCACTTGCGTGCCGGCACGCACGTTGAAGTATGAAAACAGTCGAACGAAGCGCAATTTATGTTCCACCTTGGAAAGCTAGCCAAATAATGAAATGCTAAAATTATATGCGAAAGTTCAATTCGAATGTCGACAAGCAGATGAATTAATGTACAATAGGTTCCCATGACAATATTCTACCACAACTTGTCACCAAATGAGTGATCATAAGGTCTTGTCTCAGGCAAGTACCATTCTATGCATGTGAAACAAGGAGTTTATTGATACCTAATCTACACAACCACCGTCCAAAAAGCGATCATACGGTAAGGTCACCGAGATATTGAACAACACTATGAATATAAACTGAATTAAGAAAAAATGTCGTTATCTACCACTTTATCGCCATTAACCCTAAAAAACATGGTCTTTAATGATAGAGTTATTCCTCCTCATTTTGCAATAACAAACCAAATTGAACGAAAAACGAAGAACTGTCAAAAACTAACGTAGGTCGCGCTGACGGAGTGTTCATACATTTTAATCAACTCCGTATCGTCCCAAACATCTTCATTATCGATGCATTCATCCTGCGTAAGAACTGTTCAGAAAATTGAAAAAATGTCACAACTTAGCCCTTTCATTGAAGCAAGAAGCAGTCAAGCGCAGCCCTCATGAACGTCACTATACTGTAACGTTATTCCCAAATATTTTTAGCAACAAAACGTTTATAATCGTGTTGCGTTAATATTCCCTTCTCGACCGTTTATCCAACGTCATGGACAGCTTCATAAGACGCACTTCAGAAAGAGTTTGACAAGCCCCTTTACGCAATGTCATCTCGTTAGCCTACTGATCTGGGTTTAGGGAAACAATATAAGCGGTTCGGTCATGAAGCAAAAGTAGAGAGCCCATGAAATTTTTCTGTCCTGCGTTTTCTAACTTTATTCAGATGTCCGAAAAAAAAAACTGATTCGCTCGAATGAATTTTTTGCTTCAGTTTACCAATAATTCCTCTCAAGTTGGGGTACAGTGCCTGACTTTCTTGGAATAGTGACAGTGTAGTAATTCGCGAGATATCCAATGAAGTGAAAGTGTTGGCGATCCAAAAGCCAACTTGTAGCTGGAACCACCCTCTTTTTGAACACACTTTCGGACTTTTCTTAATACTATTCTTCTGATTTATTGAAATTTCGGGCCTCACTTTCTTAAGTTTTCTTCAAGTATCTGCGTTTTCTAACTAATTCTCTTCACGCAAAAGACACACCTATGAAGGGCAAGACTTTAACACTCTGCCTAAGCCTACACTTCGATAACTAAGCGCGGACGAGTTTTGCGCAGTAGCTACTTCAATTTTTATCGCATTTATCTAGTTTTTCCAAGTGCTCGTTGGGAACCAAGTTCCAATGTTCCTCTAACATACATGTCAGTTTCTATTCATCCTGTGCTTCCCCTCTTGGGCGTATTCGCTGTGAGTAGATTGATTTTGCAGGCCGTTTGGAATATAGGTAGTTTCCTAGCTCATCTTAACGGAACACGACTTTACTGAAGATTCTGCCCTCGCGAATGGGACTGGTTCAAGTTGCTTCTCATGATAGGTGAATTAAGGGTGATAAATGAAGCAGTTGGTAAGCAAGGCGCGGAATCATTCGTTTTAAGAATGGTACTTGAACTCGATCTACAAGGAATGCATTTCTACTTCTGCTTGTCGGTGGGTACACATGATATTCTGCGGACTCGTTGAAATGACGGAGTTTGTATTACCACAAACTGAGGAAATCAAGAGAGGAGCCTGGTCTCACAGCGAACTATGAAGAAAAACAAGATAACTGCTACGCAAAACTCGTCCGTTAATTTTTCTGCATGTAGATTTATGGGTGTGGGAAATTAACTGAAACCTATCAACTGAATCACAGAACACACCAATTTCAGGATTGGCGGTGATAAGTTCAGCGGTGATCTTGTTTGTATTCAGCAGAAATAACTTCTGTATCGCCTGTCACTTCTTGCTTCACATTATAGCTACAGTGTAGAAAGAAAATTTTAGAGGGCAAGCGATACTGACCTTACGATAAACGAAGCTCATTGACTAAACAACCTGAAGAAATAGTTCGGTTATTTTAAAGGGAACATCCACATCCGGGACAGAAAATAGAAATACGAAATACGCCCTGCTGTGTGACCAACACAGGAAAAAACTAGAATATTCATTCTGCAATAAGATGAGTATGCCTTGCTAAAACATTCGCTATTTCTACTTGGAGCATACAAAGCGTAAAACATGACAAATGTTCTAAACAGCCTGATTAGCACAAATGGTTATGTACAACGAAACGAAAAAGGAAACAATTGTCTATGAATGAAAATATTCGCCTTAAAAAATGGTCAGAGTTAGTAGTAGGTAAAATATAAACACATACAAATCATATTCGGCTCGTTTAGATATCTTTGATCACCTGGTTTTCCTTATCGATGGAGTAAGTCAGGAAAGCATAGAAGCCAGTCCAGATCGCGTAGGGAATCATCCACAGCCCTGCATGCTGGTCGATCTGCAATGAGCAGAATTCCTACTATTCAGTTGATTCCTTTTGTGAGAAATCTCTTCATTCAAGTTGAAAGACAGAGTTTCCAACAATTAAGCTCGTACTTTGAAGTAAACATAAACATTTCGAACTCTAAGATTGTGGTAGAGCTTTTGCAGGTATCAATTCAATTGCAATCAGATTGGTTACCGGGATTCTCAGGAAACCTACAACAGCCGCAGATAGCCACGTTGATAACTGGTGAGGACTACCATGCGCTGGTTGGAATATACGTGTATGGTTAATGGTTCAGAAGACGAACTTTGCGAAAACAGTGCGAATATCACAAGAAAACTGTAAAGAAGACACTCGGTGCACGGGGGNNNGGGGGTAGAATGTATGGTTGAATCCCTACCGCTGTGCTCGGGGAAACCTGTGAGCTCAGAGAAATCTAGCGGCATCAAAGGGTAATGAACGCAATCACTGAAACTGCATCGGAGTCATTCATGGGCCGTATACTGAACTCCTTGAGCAGGGAAAGGGAGAAATACGCTAGGTTTCGATTAACGCAAATTTTCAAATAACAGTTTCCCTCTATATATGACAAAAAAGTGCTCAGTTCAAGAATTTCGTACATAACCCCGACTTTGCGTTCGTCTCTACGGCTCTACCATATAAATAGCCTAGAAACGTGCGATTTAAATACAACAGCGACCCCTGTAAGCGAGGCGGTCGGTGGTGTTGAAGGAGTACTGCAAACAATGAGATGTATGCACAATGCCGAGGGTGGTAGAGGAGAGAATGGTGTATCAGTTAGGGTCAGTGATTTAACTTAACTTTAGGGGGAATCATCCCGAAAAAAAAGACCGTAAGATGCGCAAACATATAAACGGCCTTCTTGTATAGTCATATGTCAGAGTCGTCATTTTTCTCCTGGGACAGAGGGGAGCGTGGTCCCATGGGCGCGTCACGTCGAAATCCGCATTGTCGTCAAAGGGTTTAACGAGGAACAGAAAACCGAGCGGTTACGAATTAAACTACTATCCATCCTAAGAACCCTCAAGGAGGTTGCAGAAAAAAATCGAATCAAATCAATCAGAGCGGTGAAAATATAGCCGGGGGGGGNGGCACCGAAAATAGATGAAACCAGAGCAGTACTAAATTGTTTCGGAGGCCACAAAGCGTATCGCGCTTCATCGAATGGCAGCAAGGTTTCAAGCCAGGTTCAGAAAATATCGATTGCAGAACTCAAGCGNGGTGTTACATGTTATCCCGTTTTAGACCATGGACATGCAGTTAACTAGGCTTAGGAGGGGCACCATGCAGGGCGAGATCCTAGTATTTCGTCCGAGGAAATCATCTCACCCACCCCAATCCTCCTACCCTTTTGAGGTATAGGTAAAAAAAACTATATTTCCCTAGCTAAAACCGCATAAGAGCGCCCAGATGGCCGATGCTCATCCTCCTGTTCGTCTCCGATAAAGCTAGTATAACAGAGATTAACATGTAGCACCGTGTTGATTCCTTGTTTTACTAATACTGTTATGAGTGCCCTCCCCCACTCCAGCCCCGTAACCGTGTGGGTAGATATATGCAACGCTCTAACGCTGATACAGGCTTCGGCATCGCTGTCCATCGACATCCCAGGTACGACTGTAGCTCACTGAATTATTTTGAAGTTTCAAATGTACGTGTTTAATATCACTCTTTTTCTAACAAACTGACCAGTCGAATCGCCCGGCTTACGCTGGGCCTCATCCCCTACTTTTACAAAGTGGTTAGAAAATTATCTAGAAGGGTGGGGGGGCTTCGCTCTTTATAGAGCACTGAGGGCTTGAGTGTAAAGAAGGATCGTTCCCGACCTAGGCAGGATCGGATATGAGTTGAATATTTAATTGACTCACCTACCCCGGTGTTCCTTCACTTCTGAAGCTCAGGTCAAAAAACTCTAGGTGTCGGCTAAGAAACGTTCCTGAGCAGGCTAACCTCCTTATCTGCGCTCAAGGGCTCAATGTTGAAAGAAAGCGGAGATCTTTCAACTGCATTACCACCTCCGATTTTTGTACAGACACTGCCAGTACAGAACAAAATCTTAGTTTTGAAATAACCACTTCACTCCACGTCTTTCACTTCACTCCGCAGTGCTCATTCTGCTCCATCAACCTACCCACCACCAAGTTACTGCTTCATTTGGATAAGGAAATGTGGGATAGAGCTGGATTATCCATATCACTACCTATATCGTAATTATAAAGTTCTACGAACGGACAGACGGACAAAATACAAACCGACACACCAATTTTGCTATAAATGAGAGATTACAAGTTTTACAATGTTTGCAAAGCAGTTGTTGGGTAAAACTATACTTTCCATTATTTTTGTTGCCTTTTATTGAACTGAAAACTTTACCAATTTTAAAGTTAATGCCATCCACGTGACCAACTATCCCGGTGAGAGTTAAAGCCTTGACGCGCGCGTTTTTTTTTATTTTCGAACAATCTAAAAGATATAAAGTAAGCGTAAGAAATCGATTTACGAGGTGCCTAACGCAGCCGTCGTCAGCTCGTTACTATGAGTGCAGCTCTCTGTACCGCCGGTGGGCTTCCGCTTGTACCACGTGTAAGGCTGCTTTCAGACTTCAACGATCGATCCACCGTCCAACCGTCGGCGCTGGCTGATCACGTGGTGATAACAATGAACAGATGAACGCAATCTTTCCATTGTTGTCACCACGTGGTCATCCAGCGCCGTCGATTAGTCGGTCGTTGATGTCTGAAAGCAGCCCACGTGTGTACATACTGCTTGCTCGCGCTTGTAATGCGATTTCGGACACTTAAACATACACATTTCCAAGGACCCGTACACCCCAGTTCGTTGGACAATGAATTCTTCTTCTAAGTTTACCGTAAACAATTCCAACGGTAGTATCGCCCTAGCTTAATGACTCCCAAGAAACTATGCCTAAATTATTGCTTGAACTAGGAGTCGACCTGACCATTGTACAACCAATTTAGTGCTGAATAGACAGTCCTGGATTTAAGTGAAATAAAGGCAGTTCAAAATAAGAAAAAAACCTTGTAAAACGTGTACGCAGCTCCAGCAGCAGTCAGATGAACAAGAAGCGTATTCTTCCACAACTGAAAATCCGACCATAGGTTTGGGTCAAAAAATGTAGCCAACCAAGATCAATTAACTGACGCATGGCAGGTTCTTCTTTTTGACGAGAGGAATAGTTGTCAGTGCAAGCGCCATGTTCGCTCCATAAAGACCCAAGGCTAGGCGAGTATCAGTGTAATCAAAGCCTGCAAAAAATGATCCATGCAGCGCTAAGCCATGGCAAATGGTTATGCAAAAAGAGAGCTGAAACAAACCTCCTCCATTTTTGTAAACTAGGTATGAAGCATACCCTAAAGGAGACAACGCCAATATGTCCATTACGGAATATAGCCGTACGTCGGTTGGAGCCCAGTCTGGTTTCTTGACTTGCTAAAAAAATACGAAAATCATGCGGTATGTGAAAGGAGATTTCATGGGGCTTCGATGGTTTTTTTAAAAATTTTTTGAATTTCCTTTTCTGAAAGCTAGAAATGTTATGCGCTGGCTGCAGAACTTATTTTAATCGTCCCATAAGTAAAATATCGTCGGCATCAAGCTCTAACGTTTCACTAAAATATTTTCCTGATTCAGTACTAACTTAATGATTTTTATTCGATGTTCAAGTACTTCAAGCTACACGCCAGGAATGCTGTCTCCGAATAAGGAATAAGCGAATTATTGAACATTTAGGCATCCCTTGACTGCCCTAATTCGAGTTATTTAATGGGCAGACGACAGACTGCGTTGATCGATATATCTCGTGGGGTCCACTAATGTAATTCCTTGTGGATCAAATTTCTTGGTCCATTGCTCTCTTTTCTGGTATAGACTGATTGCTTAGATAATTCCTTGAATCCAAGCATGAGCCATCGATCTAGTGAAGTACCGATTGACAATGACGCGTTTCGCCTTCAGGCGTTGCGTGCAGGCGGCTTCGGGCGCTTTCGGCTTCAACGAACTGCGTTGTTTCAAGCGGTGCGCAATCGATCGACAGCTTTTCTGGCCACGCGTTGAAAACGCTGGACACCGATCGATACCGCTCACGCGGCCCTGAGCGCATTCTTTACTGCTCTGTCAACGCATGGCCAGCAATGCTGTATCGGTCGGCCACGCTAGTGGCAACAACGCAAGTCCATTGACTATAAAAGTATTTTCCATAAGGATAAGCCATGGCAGGCCAACCACACACGGTACGGATACTCTGATTTTTCTAACTCATTGTTAGCTCCAGCAAAACCCTTGAAATTAAGTAATTAATATATAGACATCGCTTGCTTCACGCTACTGAGTTTGGTATGGTACACGTTCAATTGCAAGGATTAAGCGGCACCGAAAATAGATGAAACCAGAGCAGTACTAAATTAGCCAGGTTCAGAAAATATCGATTGCAGAACTCAAGCGCCCCTGCTTCGAGGTCCGCCACTGCTATCTTGTAAACCTGCATAATTTTACCCAATGGATGATCGCATTACGCGAATTTTCTACATGATTTATGAAGATGCCCCTACCATTGTTTTTCTATGTCCTTGATCCCATTTTATTGGCCTAAATAACTTTACACAAAAACAATAAGAACAAGTAGACGCTTACGGTAGACCACCAATCAACGACTTCCTTGTCTCTAGCGAAAACGGCAAACGCAGCGATGGCAGCACCGCCGGGGATCATCGTGGCTACCAAAGCATTGCGGGTATCCTGAAACAAAAAATGAATAGAGTGAAGATAAAGAATATTACAATTTGTAAGATACATGGTCCTTGAACGTTGGATCTTAACGGTTCAAATTGAATGTTAATATTTATTAATTGCCAGATATATTGTGAAAAATAGTCTCTTAGGTACTTCAACCTTCTCACAATGCTTCCGTCCACTAATACTACTGTAAACCGTCGATTATAAGGAAATGCATTCACCAAGAAATGCATCGAATGGACGTCGTGTATGGTTGATATGTATTGAAAGCTCATTCATCAGGTACCTTCCTACCTGTACAAGGTTCGTACTCAGGAGAAAGAACAAAACGCGAGGCATGAAAGCGTATCATTCTGTTACTTTTAAAATCATCCATAAAATACCTGAGTAGTCCAGAAAGGCATTCCGTCGTTCTCAACGTAGTGCTCGAGGGCTCCACGAGTAGTAACAACTGAAAATATTGAATTAGACAGCTGCCAAAAAATCAATGCGAAACTGCGCTGCAAATTCATTTCATTAAAGGCACATTTTCCGGTTCAAGAATGCTTAATGAATATTAGGTTAGTCGGCGGGAAGGCCTAACAGTTCATCAACAGGCGACAAGGTTTAGGGTCAGACTTAGAGGATGGCCAGATGGCAGACATCAAAGCAGAACAACCTTTGCACTGAGGTCCGCCATCGTTATCTTGTAAACTTGACATAAAATTATTATGTAAATTGGATGATCGTATTTGGACGTACAGCACTGTTCATCTATGCACAGCTTATCAATTGAAAAGACCGTCAGAAATTGGCATGAAAACTTGAGATGAGACGTTGTGGGAAAGCCAGAGAGTGTTGACAGCGATGTAACGGTCAAGTCGATTGTTGCTATGATAAAAAAAGACGGCAACTTCTGCTCCAGTGCTAACGCTTCAAGTTTTTTAAGAATGATTAAGGTAGGGAAGAAAGATGGATATACAGGTTATGATTTCCATAAGCTAACAGAGTATAACGAGGTAAAACTAACGATTGGGTGTCCAGGCGGAAAATGTAGAGAAAACAAGTATGGATTACAGGAGTTGTGACAAGGGAATTAATGCTTAGCAATCAAGCTTAGAAAGGGTCTTCCTGTGAACCCTCGAGATTGGGCACTTCTTGATACTGGAAAGAAAGATAGGAAAGAAAGAAAAGCCCTATCACTCAGTTTCAACCGGTGGACCTTGACCCTAAACTATTGATGTCACGAGTAGTCACACTGAGAAGTAATGAACTTGTTTACAAAGTAAGATAGGTAACAGTGGGATGATTCCAAGGACAAAGACATGACGCGATCGATTGAAGCAGCAAAACAGCGGAATGAGCGACTGTTGGCTGCAGGATGGCAAACGCAGAAGGTCCTCGCTTTCCCAGACAAACGCACACCCAGTGCCGATTGGATGATGGGATGGGAGGAGAAGGGGAGGAGAAGCAGGAGGAGCAGGGTGGATGCAAATGCACACAAACCAATCTAAAGAAATTTCACAAAATATACTCGGGGTGGTACCCTTCACTAACTAAGTTCGTCAGAGTGTGAACTCATTTTTAGGCGTTGCAGTAATACCTAGGCAGGCAAGTGTGCCAAGGACGAGAAATCTCTGTATTAACAATAACATTGCCATATTATTCTCATCAATGCGGACAGTTTTACCCGGTGGGACTCCGAGACTAATCGACAATTGAAAGGGTCCAAATGTGAATGACTTAACGAGTTTTCATTCAGGCACAAACCAATCAATTGATGTCGTCTATGTTTTTGTTTTGGTACTACTCAAAACATTGATTTTCCTATCCTTTCCTTATTTTCATCCTTATCATTGTTATGAACCATCAGACCTCGTGGTTTTCATTCCAAAAGAAAGAACTTCAATATCAACAGTTTGACAATTTGTGGTTCCT